TCCCTCCTTCCCTCCTTTGACTCCTTCCCTCCCTTGCATCCTCCCCTCCTTGCCTTCTCACCGTCCCTCGTCTCTTCCTCTCCCCGCCCTTGCATCTTCATATCCCGCGCCCTCTCTTCCCTTGAACCCGCCTCTCGTCGTCGTCGTCGTCCTCCTCCTCCTCCTCCTCCTCCCTCCCTCCCTCCCTCCCTCCCTGCCTCCCTGCCTCTTCCCCTCTCTTGCCCTCTCCCCCGGCCCGCAGGAGGCCCCCAGAGGTTTCCAGAAGGCCCCCGGAGGCAACACGAGGCCCCCCAAGTGGCCTAAGGCATGAAAAGGGCCGTCCAGAACCCCCCTCCCTCTTCCCCCCCCTCTTCTGCCAGTGCCCCACTTCCGCCCCTCCCTCGCCCCCCTCTCTGTCCCCACTGGCGCGCAGGTGGAGAGGTACGAGGCGGAGTCCGAGAGGTGCGCCCCGCCGCCGCCCCGCCGTCCGCTGGGCATCAGGGGGCGCTTTTCGTGGTCCTGCCCGCCCCGCGCCTCGTCGCTTCCCCGCCCCGCGCTTCCTGCTGCTCGGTCAGCTTGTTGATGCTTACTGGCAGCCTGGAGAATACGCCCCGTGCCTGTGCTTGGAGCGAGACTTGTGAGCTTGCCCCTCACCCAGGACTACACGGCTTGGCCTGGGCGCTGTCGCCACACGCGCGGATGCACGGCTTGGCCTGGGCGCTGTCGCCACACGCGCGGATGAAATTCATACATGTGTGTACACATATATGTATAAAAGTAGATGTATTTGCGTATATACACATGTGTGTAAGCGCCTCCTGCCGCATTGGACGAGATCTTGCTGCACATCTTCCGAGGAGGAGAAGGAGGGGGATGAACAGTTTCTGCCTTCGTCTTCTGACTGGCGCATCGCTTGGGCGCCACTCGGGGGACCTCAACTGACCAGACCGATCCTGGCATGGCCGGCCCTGGGCCCAGGAAAGGCGCGGCCAGAATCAGTGAGGTGACCACTTGACGTCCCTCAAACTGGGCGTGACGCCGAGATCGTTAGTTCACGGAGCGAGCTTACGGTGACTTCCGATTCGTGGCTCGTCCGTAGCTCGCTCGACGCCCGACTTCAGAAACTTCGGTGCTCCCGAGGACCGTGCTCGTGCCTCGCTCGTGGCCGATGCAGCCCGATCAAGCGCTCCTTTCGGTTCGATCCGATGCCTCGAGTCGATGCCGACCGGTCCTGCCTCGCGTGTCTGCTTTGGCGCTGCGGAGTCGCCCAGGATGCCGTTGCGCTGCTGGCGCTGGCAGCCACGGGTTGCCGCTCATTTCTCTCTCGCCGGCTCGCAGGGGCGGGCAGGCAGGTGGGGGCCGCGGCTGCTGGCCCAAGCAGGGGGCGCTCGGTGAAACACACGCCCGCCAGCCCCGCCGCCGCCCAACGGCCGCTCCCGGCGCCGAGGGAGCCTGCGCGGTGCGGTGCCTCTTCCCCTGCCCGCTGCCCCGCCCCCTTCCTCTCCCCTCTGCATCCTTGCTCCCCTCTTCCCCCTGTCTCCTCCCCTCCCCTCTTCCTCCCCGTCCCTCCCCTCCTCCCTCCACATTTGCACACTGAATGCTACTCTCCTCTCTCCCCTGATTCCGTGCGGAATATGTTCGGCCCTCTCTCCGCGTGCTCTTATCGCACACGCTGGATTTCAAGCGATGCTTGTTCTCCAGTCAGTGGAGACGCGCCGCACGGCGCATCGGCTAAACAGCACAAGGCTAATTACAACAGTTCTAACGCACAGCCTCTCAGAAAACATACGCCTGGGCAACGCTTCTCCACCGAGCCCTGCTATAGTTCGGCCCGAGCTCGGCGCGCACAGATGTGCCAGAAGCCGAGCATGCTAGCGACGCGTGCTCATGCATTACGCGAGCCCATGTCAATCTGGGGCGGCCTCGTGCTCTTCTTCCGTGTAGGATCGGCGGGTTCACGCTCCCGGGTGCGAACACTACATCACGAGCTGCTGAGTCCGGCATGCTGCCAAGCTTCCCGAACAGATCGAATTGTTTCATGAGAATGTGGCTGCTAAGACGGTGCTGCCCGGCTTGTTGCCGCACGCTGTGGTTGGACACGTGGGAGATCATGGAATGAGGAATCTTTAGTATTTTGCGCAGACACTGGGCCTGGAACGCATCAAGTTTATCCCTCTCTGCTTTCCGCAAGCACAAAGCCTCGATGCTGTAGGAGAGCTTGGAAATTACGCACGCGTTGAACAGCATCATCTTTCTGCTCCGACTGATGTTCGCGTGCCCCCATACCAGGCAAAAATTATCAAGGGCTCCCCTGGCCTCCCCCAGTCTGCGCGCCAGAGACGCGCCCGCGTTACAGTCAACGTTCAAGAGGCCACCAAGATATAAAGCTGAACTGGTCGTGTTGACCGGGTCCCCGGTGGATGTGAGCACTGGCGTTGCATGCCGAACTTGTAAATGCACAGTTTTCCCCCAGTTGGGCTCTAGACCGTATCTCCACGCATGTTGAACAAGAGTGCGTAAGAAAAACTGCAGACGAGGGATGTCATCAGATATCAAGGCGGTGTCGTCTGCAAACGCAACGTCTAAGCAAGTATTCCCCTCACCGAGTGGACCACATTCTCGTACCATCACTTCTTCGACGTCTGTCAGCAAAACGGACAACATGATGATGAACAGATAAGGACTCAGCGGGCACCCCTGCGCTATGCCAGATTGCTGGTCGAATATACCAGACTCCCCGTGCGCATCGCGCACGTCAAAAGTTCGGTTGTCGTAAATATCTGCAACTATATCGATATACTCGTCCGGGATGCCAAACCGGGACAATGCGACGACCAATGCAGCCGCGTCCACTCGATCAAAAGCCTTGGACCAATCAAGCAGCAGCACGGACAGGCAGCCGTCCTTGGTCGACCATGCCTTCTCGATTAATCTCTGAACAAGAAAATACGCATCGCTGGCCCCACGGCGTCGTCTGAAACCGAATTGCGTTGGCCGCAAGCGTCCCTCAACTCCTCCCTGAGCCATGCGGCGCAAGATGAGGGCGGCGATGACTTTGTAACCAACAGACAACAGCGATATTGGGCGGTAGTTCTCTGGCAGAGACACGTCCCCCTTTTTGAACACAGTGGATACACTGAAATGCTTCCAGCGCTTCGGCACGGTCTTCTCTCTCCAGCACACATTACAAAGATTGAGAAGAATATCGCACGCGTCTGCGTCAGACCGCAATGCTTTCCAGAGGTCGGGGGGGATGCCGTCTGGTCCAGCTGCTCTCCCTGCCCGCATCTGTGTCAACACTGCTGCCAGCTCCTCGCTGGAGAAGTCGCCAGCCTGCAGAGGAAGCACAGGGCCAAGTTTGCCACCGTGTGGAAGAGCTCTGCCAAGCGGCGGCGGTTTCCACTGCACCGTGGCGTAATGTTTCGCCATGGTTTCGGCGCGCTCATGACTACCGACAAGATTCCCACTCGCGTCTCTGAGCCGCCCTTGTCTCGTGAAGCCTCTCCGTTTGAACTGTCTCAGGCTTCTCCAGTCACCTGCTGACAACATGTCGTCCAGCCATGCTGCTCGATCTTTCTTCGCAGAGGCTTTGATCTCACTCGACAACGACACTTCTCTATCAATATTGCCGGCTACCCGGGCTTGGTTGCGTTGTTCTATCAAATTCAAAGTAGGCTGCCGTATCCAAGGACGATTTGCTTGCACTGGACGCCGGGTAAGACAGGCAGCCGCCGCAGTAGCCATGCCGGAAGCGACCCTGGCAGCCACTTCATCAACAATTTCTGTCTGAAGACTTTCGTCGTCGCCACAATGCTGCAGAAATTCCGTATGTGTTTTATCACCCGATTGTCTTCGGTGCTTCAGAATGGTGTTCCCGCTACAGCGTGGGCCTTATTGGAGAGGCCTGACGGCCAGTGCCGCCGACCCTGATCGAAGGGGCTAGGAGGGGGAGTCGGATCTGGGGGGGGTGCCCCCCGGGTCCCCCCCGGGACCCCCCCGGGACCCCCCCAGGACCCTCCCGGGTCCGCCCCCCCCACCCTTCCCTCGCACCGGGGAAGGGACAAGGGAAGAGGCTTCCCTTCGAAGTATTGACGACGTTCAATCAATTGCTTGGCACTGCATGTGCAAGGAAGAGGACTCTGCTGACGGAGAGCGGGAGAACGGTGAGTGGAAGTTGGATGCGGCTAGAGAAAGTGGAGCAGGAAAGAGAGCACGACCCGATCGGAGAAGCCCCTCACACACGCCGACAGGGTCGGCGGATTTTCAGATCGGCGTTTTGCTCCCGTCGTTCAGAATGGCGCTCTCGCCCCAGCGTGGGCCACTTTCCTGGATCCGAGTGCTTCTTCATCGTTGTCGCCCCCTTCATTTCCCCTCCCGCGCCTTCCCCTAGTCCTCCTGTTCCTCCCGCTCCTTCCATTCCAGGTCTTGCTGCTGCTGTGCAATGTCGCACCCCAGCCAGCCACGACCGCCCCAATTTTGCAATTGTCGCGGGCGTAAGTTGTGGAGCGACATCAGAACCCCAGCTGAAGAGTCTCCTTCTGCCCTGCAGAAGTCCCCGGGTCCATGGCCAACGCGCCAATCGGGCGTTGAAGGAAGGTCTTGTGCCCCATGTTAAAGGGGCGAAAGTCGTGACCACAATCGTCGTGGCTGAGTAGGGTGGAGCATAGACGTGGTCCGCCGGATGATGCGTTGCGCCGAGGAGGAGGAGGAGGAGGAGGAGGAGGAGGAGGAGGAGGAGGAGGAGAAGGAGAAGGAGAAGGAGAAGGAGGAGGAGCAAGAGGAGGAGAAGGAGGAGAAGGAGGAGGAGGAGGAGGAGGAAGAGGAGTACGACTGACGCGGCAGAGAATGAAGCAAGGATAATGCTGGATGGAGGGGGATGGGGAGGCTGAGGAGGATGAATATCGATTATGGAGCATGGCGGATCGGAGGATGGAGGGTCGGAGAGCTGAGGACGAAAGGTCGGAGGAGGGGAGCAGCGCTCCCGCTGCTCGCGCACCCTCGGCACCGGCCCTCGCGCAGACATGCCCGCCCGCACGCGTTCCGCCGCGCTGCGCACCGCGGCCGCCGCCGCCCTGGCGCTGGCGCTCTTCGGCTGCGGCTGCGGCTTCGTGGCGCCCTCGGGCCGCCCCCGGGCGGATCTGCCGACGCGGGCCGTCGGGCGTTGCGCAACGGGGTGCCCTAAGCAGGGGGTGTGGGGGGGGGGGGGAAGAAGTGGGGCCCCAAAAAGTGCACCAAGGGTGCACCTTCCTTCACCACCCCGTTTATCGCCCTTCCCACTCAGCAGCGCCCAGGGCCGAGCTTCGTCCGAGGCTAGGGCTTGCCCAAGTCCACCGCCCGGCGAGTCGGTCTTCCTGGACCTCGGGCGGCGACGGACATTGGTATGTTCGGGCCCCCGGGGGCTGGGATGTGTCCATCTACACCGGTCCTGGGGTTTTGGGACATCGGTTCCCCAGGCGGCGGATGTGTACAGATCCCCGCCCCGCACTCCGATCGACGCAGACTGCAGAAGGGGCACGACGTCCAGGGATCGAGGGGCCGCCGCCTCTCGCTCGGCGGGAGGCGTGCAGTGCGGCAGGCCAGCGGGAGGGGGTGGAGGTAGAGCGGGCGAAAGCTGGAGCAGGCGCGGGTCGGACAGCCGAGCGTTCCGCATGGCAGTACAGTCGGGGCCCTGAAGAAGGAACCCTTTTCGTTGGGGAGGGGCTCCGTGTTCCTTAATTGTTTCGCAGCTTGCCCTGGATGTTCCTTAGGTTTTCGATACGAAAGCGAAGTTCAACTTATGGAAAATAGGGGCCTCGTTCCTGATTTAGGGTTCCTTAGGTCAACGCCTCGACTGTAGCTCGAACGTGGGACCGGTGGCCGTGGCGAGGAGCCCCTCACCAGAAGACTGGTCGGTCGGCGGGGCCGCCAGCGGGCGCGAGTCGCCGACGCCGTCGACGTCCGGCGTCGACACCGCGTGCAGTCAACGTCGTCACGTGGCGCGCTCCGAGGAGGGCCTCGTTTTCGAGGAGTCGAAGGAGTTGACATTTTTCGGGAGTCGAAGGAGGGCCTCGTTGTCGAGGAGTCGAAGGAGTCGGGCCTCGTTTTCGAGGAGTCGTTTTTTCGTTTTCGAGGAGTCGAAGGAGTTTTCGAGGAGTCGAAGGAGTCGAGTCGAGTGGAACGCGGCGGAAGGCCAGCGGAGGTAGAACGGCGGCGGGGTTGCCGACGGAAGGCCAGCGGAATCGAGCAAATTCGTGGCCAAGAGATGCCTGTTTTTGTGGATTCAGGTTTTCGGAACCCGCCACGTGGGCAACGCCGATGCCGTCGATCTTTTCGCTGATCGGACGCACACTCGCAAGATCTGCCGCCCCCACGACCTCTGCCTCTTCCCCCCAGTCCCTCGGCCCGCGCCAGAGTGCCTCACAGTCAAGACGCCGAAGTGTGGTCCACTCTGGGCTCAGGGGGGGCTCTCTGTTTTCGTTGGCCCTGTTCAGATCCAGGCCGGGAAGCCTAGATCGTGTTCGAGGTTCGCCGTCGCCGGGCACAAAACCTCGTCGTCCCTTCGTTGTCGCTCCTCGGGGCAGCACGACGGCGCTGACTTGGCATCTCCCGGTGCGGGTCCCGATGGGGTTCCACAGCGCAGCCGCGGCGGAGGGCAGAGCTCCGGCGCAGACAGAGGGCGGGAGCCCGCCGGGCGGGCGGCAGCGCGGGCCCCGAGGCAGGCGCGCCCGCTTAGGCAGAACGAGCGAGCCGGAGCCCCCGATCGGCCGTCGGGGCCCGCGGGCCCGCCTCCCGAGGAGGCGGGGCCCTCGAGGCGGGCCCTCGGCCGGTGGGCCCCGCCTCCTCGGGGGGGGGGGGGCCTGCGGGCTCCGACGGTCCGGCCGGGCCTTTTGGGCCCTTGGCCGTGGCCTCCGGGGCCCAGTCCGCCGTCACCGGGCCCTGCTCCCGGCCGCGGCCTTCCGGGCTCAAGATGGCAGGTCGGCGAAGTGGCTGGGCGGATTCGGCTGCGGTTCCACGGCCTGCTGTCTCCAGGACCGCCAGTCGGATTTCCAGGCTCAGCGACGATATCTGCAAGTGCATTCCTGGCATCGTCGCCACGAAGCAGACGGGCCTGGAGGGTTGTTGCCGTTTTAGGCTTCCCTGGGGCGGGCCCCGGGACTACCAGAAAACGGTTCAGGGCGAAAATCTGGTTTTGGGGGTCCAGGGCCCGTTCTTCTTGGGACTCGTTTGTCTCATGCCAAGGTCGGTGTCTGGCCAGTTGCACGCGAGGTCCGAAGCGTGTTTCTTTCCTTGTCCCCCGTTCCGCCCCCGCATTCGTTTTTTCGCTTTTCCAGCCTCGCCAGTGTGCAATCTACTTGGCTGCGGCCTGGCAAGTGTTCAGACGCATTCTGGTCCGTTCACGTCGCTGCGACAATCCAGGGTTGCCAGCTGCCGAATGTGCAACTGTCGCGCATGACACTTCGCTGCTTGGATCTACAGCTTGCCCTCCTCTCGCCCTGCGAGGGCAGTATCAGATAATGCCCTGTACCAGATACTATCTGTACCAGATACTGTCTGGATCTGCCCTGTATCAGATCTGCGTGCGGGCCAGCCTGTACCAGAAACTATCTGGTACAGGCTGGCCCGTACGCTCTCGTTCGCCGGTTCCACGCCAGTTGGCGTGAGTGTGATTTGGCAGGTGCAGCTATGACGAAACGGAGCGTTGCAGTCGCACAGTTTTGTGTGAGAGAGGTTTTCACGGTGCCCATGCCTCCCCTCCCTCTTTCTCCCCTTCTCCCCCTCCTTCCCTCCTCGCTCCTTCTTGCATGCTCCGTGCTGGTGTAAGTCCCACCGACGCCCACTATTCCTGCAGTGGCTGCGTTCCTGCCTGCTTGCACGCTGCACGAATCGAAGAGGAGGAGGAGGAGAAGGAGGAGGAGGAGGAGAAGGAGGAGAAGGAGGAGGAGGAGGAGGAGGCGGAGGAGGAGGAGGAGGAGGAGGAGGAGGAGGAGGAGCAGGAAGAGGAGGGGGAGGAGGAGGAGGAGGAGGAGGAGGAGGAGGAGGAGGAGGAGGAGAAGGAGGGGGAGGACGGGGGGAGGGGGAGGAAGAACGACGACGGCGACGAGAGGTCCCTGGGCCTCCCTATGCTCCCTCTGGGGATCGGCGGGGCCAGGCCGGGGGGTCTCCACCGAGGTGGCGCCGCCGGCCCCGCGCGCCGCCCCGCAGGCCTGGGGGCGCTCGCGAGCTCGGGCGGGAGGGCCCTCCTCCGCTGCGCTGCCTCAGTGCGGGCACCTGCAGTGCGGGCGCCTGTATGTTCGGGGGCACCTGTATGAGCGGGCACCTGCTCCGCTGGCGGAGCTCCTGCCTGCAGTGCGGGCACCTGTATGTTCGGGGGCTGCAGTCGCTGCCCCCGGCCCGAGCAGGATGCCCCCAGGGTCTCCTCGGGAAGGCCCGTGTGGCCTCCACGGAGCGCCCCCCTCGCGAGGCCTAGAGTGGCCCAGAGGGCCCCCAGGAGGCTCTCACGATGGCGCGAGAAGCCCGGGACGCCTTGGGCCAGGGACGCCTTTGGCATGCTGCATGTGGTGGTGGTGGTGCTGCTGCTGCCGATGACGACGACGACGACGATGATACAAATAATTATAATAATAATAACGAAATAATAACAACAATAATAATAATAATAATAATAATAAAAATAACAATATTAATAATAATGATGATGATACTACTACTACTACTACTACTACTACTACTAATAATAGAAATAATATTATTCATAATAATAATCATAATAATAGTAATCATAATAATAATAAGAATAAGAATAATGATGATGATGATGATGATGATGATGATGATGATGATGATGATGATGATGATGATGATGATGCTGATGATGATGATGATGATGATGATGATGATGATGATGATGATGATGATGATGATGATGATGATGATGATGATGATGATGATGTTGATGATGATGATGCTGATGACGACGATGATGATGATGATGCTGCTGCTGATGATGCTGATGATGATGCTGCTGATGATGGCAAATGATGATGACTGATGATGATGTTGATGATGATGCGGATGTTGATGCTGGTGATGATGATGATGCTGATGCTGATGCTGATGATTATGATGATGCTGGTGATGATGCAGATGATGATGTCGATGCAGATGATGATGAGGATACTGATGCTTATGATGATGATGTTGATGATGATGATGCAGATGATGATGATGATGATGATGATGATGATGATGATGATGATGATGATGATGATGATGATGATGATGTTGATGTTGATGATGATGATGATGATGATGATGATGAATATGATGATGATGATGATGATGATGATGATGATGATGATGATGATGATGATGATGATGATGATGGGACTGGCCCACGGGCCTGACGGGGCCCAGAGACAGCGACGCGAAATTTTAATTCATGCAAGTTCGTTACTTGGAACACGTGCCACAAGAGCCATAACAGTGCAGCTGGGGTGTGCAAGCATTTGAAGCAACTGGCCGGTGCTGACACTGTGGTTGGCTTGCAGGAGGCTTCGTGGTACCAAGTCCGTGGTCGTGGGTATCACGGATTCGTGGTATTCGCATGGGAACAATCAGAGGCCGCCTTCCTAATCCCTAGACTTTGGGTGCGAGGCGTTGTCACTGAGGGGGCTGGTTCCTATTGGGCCGGCGTGGTGTTATTCGACACTATCTTCCTTAGCGTGCACCTTCTCGACCATTGTTTGGACGGTGGCCGGGGCGACTGCACTATATCGGAAATAATTAGATTTGTGCACGGCGTTCGACAGCATAATCGTGATCCGGATTTCAAGGTTGTGATGGGTATCGACACTATTGCGCTCTTCTCCCTGGCATCGAGGGCTACAGCGGTGATATCGTGGGGAGGCGCATTCCAGGACACACCGACAGCATGAGGAACGTGGTTATGTCCTTGTTCGAAACACTGGAAGTCCGGGCGTTGAACACCTACAACAGCAGCCTCTCGGACTCCAGCGCGGACCCATGGACTTGCGGAGTGAAGCGGGAAGCACATCGTAAAACGCAAATTGACTATATAGGTGTATCGGCGCTCATCGAGGGTGAGGCCGCTCCCGTTTCACTGAGCGCGCGCTGCTTTACGAGATCTGACCACAGGCCTGTTTATTCACAACTGAAGTTTTTGAATCCAGAGCCGATGGAGCTTTGCAGAGATCTTCGTCTTCACGGCTGGGCGCATATTTCAGAAGCAGCAGGATGTCTTTATCAAGACTTGTGCGTCACTTCTGGTTTTCAGCATTTCTCCTTGGACGATTTACAGCACGCTATCATCGGCCACGCACGGGAAGTACAGCCCCTAGTGAAGGGGAAGGGGCTTGCATGCCAGCCATCGGCTTCGCCGTCCAGACTACGGAAGATGATTGCCAGGCTTCCGCCGAAGTCCGACAGCTGGGCGGATGCTATCAGGACGCTCCGGCGCTTGCGGCGGACCCGCCAACGCACCAAGGCGGGGAAACGCTTGGACCGAATCATTTTGAATACCAAAAACGAGACCGTCTACCCGATGATCTTGGAAGTGGAAGGCGTGCCGAGTGTGGACAGGAGAGCTTGGCTCGAGGAGGCATTCAAATTTGGGACAGACAGGTTCGCTGACCCAGAGAACACACCAGACAAACAGTTGCTCCGCCTACGAGGTCTGCAAGCAGCGGTGGAGAACGATATCCTCGATGGCCGTCGGGAGCATCCTGTCACCCTGTTCGACGTCCTCCAGGGCCGCACTCGCCTCAAGACAGGCACGGCGGCTGGACGGGACGGGGCACCTCCCGAACTCTTCAAGTTGTTGCCTTTTCTGCTAGCCGTGCGCGTCTGGCAACTCTTCGTAGATAGACAGCAGGATCCTTATAGCGCGGGCCCGGATACTTGGAAGTTCATGGGTTTCGTCGGGCTGCCGAAGGTGCGAAACGCTTTCCGGCTGGGCGCTTGCCGATGGATTGGGAAATTATGTACGTTTCAGAAGTGGTACTTACAAGCGCTACGGCCAATGACCCGATTACAATTTAAACCTAGCTTCGTGCTTACCTTCGGCTTCAAGCAGGGGGCCCGAACTGAGGATTTGGTGTGCATATTGGAAGAGGTGCTAACATATAGTACTACATGGGGCCGTTCAGTTTATGTATCATCCCAAGATGTGGCTACAGCGTTCGACTGCATGACGCACGCCTCCAGTGCCCAAGGGCTCCACCACAGAGGAGTGAGGACGGGCTTGGTCTACAATCTGACGAGGGAGCTCTCTGGCGTGAAGGCGAACATCACTATTCCGGGAGCCGGGGTTTCCAACGACTTCGCATTTAACCGAGGAGGGAAACAAGGAGCACCAGACACTCCAGACAGCTTCAACGCCGTAGCCGAGACAGCTCTGGAACCATTGGTCGAAGAGTCCGAACGCCGTGGCTGGGGCTTCCGATTGGAGAGTGGCGCTTTGATCACGCATATGGCGTGGGCTGACAACGTTTGGCTGTTCGCGGAGACGCCGGGGAACTTGCAGAGCATGGTCACCCACATCACGGAGGCATTCGAGAAGGTACGCTTGGCGTGGAAACCAGACTCCATGCAGGTCCTCAGCGGAGGCGCGGCCACAGGAATGACGGTTGACCTTGTTGCAAAGGCGCACGGGGGCGAGGTCCGCCGCTACGAGAACGTCATCAAATTTGAAGCGCTGGGGAATTTATTAGACGGGGCCGGGAGCACCAAAACAATGGTCGACCACCGATTGCAGAAAGCCGAGCGCCTATTTTGGAAGCATTCGAAGGCCTTGACGGGCAATGGGACTATCTTGCAAACGATTTCGGCTTGGACGCGCAGCGTGTCCGCGAGCGCAGCGCACGGCAGCGCATTGTGGACCCTGGACAAAACACTTCTGCAGCGCATCCGGAGGTGGGAGTTGAAATGGCTGCGAAAGGCATTGAGGTTACGGAGGCGGCCGGGCGAGGGATGCATGGCATACAATCGCCGCACGGTTAATAACATAACCAAGTGGTATCAACTCACAGGCACCAAGCAACTGCACCACAGGGCCCTGCAAACAGTGCACGGCGGCGCTTGGCGAGAGCGCCATAACCCGACCGGTATTGGAGTGAGCCTCATCACAGAAATACGGACGCAGAGATGCAGAGCTTTCTGGGACACAGTGAAGGATTACAACTATTCGCAACGCCTACGAGAAGGACTCGTGCACAGCCGCACCGGCAACATAATGGAGTGGGAGGACATATTCGTCCAAGAGTACGGGCATGCTTGGCGAGCTGACAGGGACGCGGGGCAAACGGCAGCCGACTGGAGACGTTCTTCTGGCACATTCCTGGACAGCGTTTGCGCCCGTTGGGCACTCCCGGCGTTCCGCCCACGAGACGAATTCCAACCTCCGGAGGGCGAGGCGCCGAAGAAAAACAGGCTCGGAAGGCAGAGCGGCCTCAAGACTTGAGTGAAGCAGTTGCTAGCGCCACCCACACGCCAGCTTGGAACGGCTTAAGCCGTAGGTTCGCCTTTGTAGTGGATTGCCAGCCCCTGCAAAAAGTTGTATGCGGGCACGCGCCATTGCAATGTGAATATATGCGGCCGCTTTTCCAGAGAATGCTACCGGTGCTTTGCGACATTTTAATTTGCGGATGGCTGCCTCCACGCGACCGGGATGATCCGGTCATGTGGGTCAGCCGTGACAACAATGTTTTGGCAGATTATCTGTGCAATCTTACGATGGACAGAAATATGTCCTGGAGAGAGGAGCGCAGAGCCCCACCACAACCATACAATATCATCATATTTTCTGATGGCGGTGCCTGGTTAGATTGCTCCGCCTGCGCGTGGGCCGTCGGTGCATATGCGCCGGAGGACCCAACGGGCACTTTCCATCCCCTGGTACTTGGTGGATGTTACATCGAGCGTGCTGCGCATTCTTTTTTAGCCGAAGCGCTGGGTCTCGAGTCTGCGCTCAAGGAAGCCAGATCCTGGATCCGCGCCCACTACAGACTGTAATGGCCTCTGGTCTGTGCCGCTGCCGCTGCCTCGTTCGCCGTCGCCGCTCTCGCTTGCCCCTCTTGCCTCCCTCCCCATCCTCTTGTCCTCTTGTCCTCTTGCCCTCGTTGCCGCTGCTCTCTCTCGCTGTCGTCGCGCTGTCTTGGGTATCGTTGCTTTTCATTGTCTCACCCGCTTCCTATCGATGGCATTAGGGGTAGCTTCCCGGAGCTCTGTCCGCCACCGAGAAAGAAAGAAAAATGATGATGATGATGATGATGATGATGATGATGATGGTGGTGGTGGTTGTAATGGTGATGATGATGACGATGACGATGATACTGCTGCTGATGATGATGGCAAATGAATATGATTGATGATGATGCTTCTGATGATGATGATGCCGGTGATCATGCTGATGATGATGATGTTGATGCAGATGGTTATGATGATGATGATGGTGATAATGCAGATGGTGATGATGATGACGATGATGATGATGTCGATGATGACGACGATGATGCTGATGATGTTGATGTTGTTGATGTTGATGACGGTGATGATGATGATGAAAAAGATGATGATGATGATGATGATGATGATGATGATGCTGATGATGATGATGATGATGCTGACGACGACGATGATTATGATTATGATGATGATGATGATGATGATGATGATGATGATGATGATGATGATGATGATGATGCCAATAATGCTGCTGATGCTGCTGCTGCTGATGATGATGATGATGATGATGATGATGATGATGCTGATGATGATGATGATGATGATGATGATGATGATGATGATGATGATGATGATGATGATGATAGTTGTGCCCTGGCCGCGATTTCCCACGGCGTTGCTATCTTTTCGCGTCTTCGGATTTCAGGCTTGGGCCGACGTCCATATTGGGCCGAAAAGTACTGGAGGTGATATTATGTGGGCTCGAACAGTAGTCATTGCCATTTCAGCGCACTGTGCTTTTCGGCCCCAGCTCTTGCTCTGCCCCCCCCCCCCCCGGAAGGCCGCGCAGCCCCTGGCGGTGGCCGGCGCGGCCGCGCTGCTCGCCGCGGCGCCCGCGCCGGCCTACGCCGGCGGCATGTTCGACTTCGGCCCTCCCAGGGCCTGGCTCGGCGGCGACGATAGGGGCGAATAGCCCATGGGCGGGCACTACACGTATTCGCCCGGGAGCCTTTTCGAAGACATGGATCATCGGCTCACTTGAATATATGTAGTGCTCTCCCCTGGGCTATCCGCCCCTACCGTCGCCTCTGACTGGCGAATGTTTCCCTATCTGACCTTTCTAGCCCTTCTCCCCGTTGGGGGGAGTCCCGCCCTGATGGAAGCTTCTCGTGGTCTGATGGTGGCTTATGGTGGTCTGGTGGAAGCTTCTGATGGTCTGACTCCCTGGGGGGAGTCCCCTTTCTAGCCCTGATGGTGGCTTCTTCGAGGCCCCGTGGAGCCCTCCAGGGAGGAGGGAGGAGGGAGGGAGAGGGGTGGAGAGCGAGGGAGGGATGGAAGGAGCGAGGTGAGCAGGAGGAGGAGGAGGAGGAGGAGGAGGAGGAGGAGGAGGAGCAGGAGGGCGAAGAAGGAAGGAGGAGGAGGAGGAATATCCCCCCCCTCTCTGCCCCCCTTCCCCTCCCGCTCCCGCTTCCGCTCGCTCCTGCACCCCCTCTGCGTTGGACTGCCTGCAGTCAACCCAGGCCTCACCCTCCCCTTCGTGGCGATCACGTTCCTGACCATGATGGCCACCCTCAACGCCCTCTGGTGCCGGAGGGTCCCATCGCCCCACCGCCCCCCGACCATTCGGTCTCCGTCACCAAAGAGCGAGGGAGAAGGGAGTCTGTAGGGGGGAGAGGGGGATTACCGGAGAGGGAGGACAGATACGGAACTATCAACGGTGCAGGCAGCCACGCCAACGTGAAGCACCACATGTATACAATTTTGCGGCAAGCGAGGGAAGCAGACAGAGACCATCCAACCCCCACCGAATCCAAGCTGGAGTAGTGGGTCTGGCGAAGATGGGTCGACAACGAGCGGCGCAATCGTTCATTAATCATGTGCACTTGCGTGCAATGGTACGGAACTGCTGCGGGGGGGGGGCGCGAATTACTGCACGGGCGATCTCAAATTTGTAACCTTTCTGCTGCACGTTATGGAATGATGCCGTCCCGTACTTCTCGGCTCCCTCGTGGGAGCCCTGGCCTTCGCGGGCGAAGCCCGTGCCGGTTCGGCGCTTTTCCCTCTCGGAAGCGCCGTGCGCTGTCCAGGGAACGAGCTTCAAAAATTATGTTTGCCCCCGTCCTCCATGACCCCCCACCGCTGCCATTGACGGAAACACAATCCCACTATTTGGGGCAACTCATTCCCGCATGCATCACGCATCTTGGATGACGTATTCTTGAACGGATCTACAATCCCATTACGTGGCATAATTGTTTACTGCATGTTGTTACGGGGAAGGGATTTAACTATCGGTGGTGCAAGCATGTATTTGCAAGGTTGTTTGCCCACTGGCTTGCCACCCGAGACCACCGATCCCCATCCAAGAAAGCCCCAGACGCCAACATTACCAGACTTGGGGCTCGGGGGAGTCGGGCCAATCTCGGGCCAAGAAACGAGTGACTTCTACTATCAGCGAGGCCCTGCCTTCGACCCGACAGGGGGAGCGGACTAGACAAGTTGCAAGTTGCGATTTCCAGAAGCCACCCCGACTTTCACCGTACTCCTCCACCTCCTTCGCACCCATCTCCTTGAATGTGAGAGGTCTCTACCGTGCATGGCATGAATGTCCCAACACTGAGGGAGGAAATACTTGGGAACGAAAAAGGTTGCAGGGAATATTTGGCAGTACTTGCTGGGTCCCTGGGTAAGCTAAATAGGCTGGGTATCTCTGAAGCACAGCATCATGCCCTTCCACTCGCTGACCATGGTGTTTTGCCCTGCCGTGTCGGACATCAGCTACTCGTTGTCATACTTGACAATGTCGTTGGCATGACTGGCCTCCTAGACAACCCCGAGGCCGCCGATTTTTAGCACTAGCTTTTGAGGCTCGTCCTGCACGGCTTTTCCCGAGGCCGTCGACTCGACCTGGTCTCGGAGCTCGGTCACCTTCGAGTCCAGCTGCGCCTTCACGGTTTTTTGTATGTTCGTGCAGTTCTCCTGCAACCGGTCTTGGTACTCGGCCACCCGTTTGTTCAGTTTCGCCGCCACTGCATTCTGCAACTGCTCGCCTGCCAGGGTGCTAAACTTGAAGCCCATCACGGCTTTCAGCATTGGCTTGCGCCGCCGGAGGGAGGCTGCTCGTCAGGGCGCTTGCTGACCCCAACTCACTCCATGGAGCCAAGCTGCGACTCCTGATCGATGGTTTGATCCACAATGGCTACGGCAGGAGGGAGTAGGGAGGAACCAGCAGGAATGGATGAGGAATAGGAGGAGGAGGAGGAGGAGGAAGTGCATGAGGAGGAGGTGGACGAGGAGGAGGAGTGCCAGTGTAAACCCAAGAGTCATCAACGATGTTGAAATGAACCCTCCCTCCAAGCTCCCTCTTCATAGGACCCTACAACGGTTCATGTCACGGAGGGAAACTCATCGTTGGAATACGATTGTTTGAAGACCCTGAAGCATGCCACAACACTGTTCTCGGGATTCCAACGACACGGTCAACCTGACTGTTGCGTCTTGACGATCCTGAGTCGTGCCAGAACGTCATTCCTGGGACTTCAACACCGCGAATCAACGTACTTGTTGCGCCCTTATCATCTAGAACCCCTCCAAAACGCGATTTCTGGTATCTTGATGATGGAAATCCGTGAAACTGTTGTACATGTTTCAAATGCGAATGTGCGCGTCGCTGAGGCGACATCCACATTTTGAAAACGACCCGCACTCAGCAAACTTTTAAAAAAGAATTTACGCGGCGCTAAGGCGAGCCACATTTAGAAAAGGAGCCGCCCTCAATCCGTGAAACTCTTGCATTGTTTTACGAATGTGCGCGACGCTAAGGCGAGAGCCACATTTTGAAAACCACCCACCTTAATCTGGGAAATGTTAGTATCTTTATATAAAAAAACGAATGTGCGCGGCGCTGAGGCGAGAGCCACATTTTGGAAATGCCCCGCCCTCCATTTGTGCAACTGTTGCCACCTTGTAAGCTTCGGGGTCATAAATGGTGAGGACGTCTCAGGCGAAACGTCCGACCCGCCCTAAAACTTGCCTCGTGGTGCGACCGTGAGAGGTTATGTATAAGGGAGAAAGAGGAGGAGGAGGAAGAGGAGGATATGGAGGAGGAAGAGATGGAGGAGGAGGAGGAGGAGGAGAAGGAGGAGGAGGAGGACGAGGAGGAGGACCAGTGCAAACCCAAGATCCATCGGCGATATTGCTTTAAACCGTCCATCCCAGTTCCCTCTTCATCAGAGTGAGGGGCCGAGCGGTCATTCACTGTCCCTGGGTGCGTGGCTGAAGTGAGCTTTCGAGGTGCGGATTGTTGTTGTTGTTGTTGTTGTTGTTGTTGTTGTTGTTGTTGTTGTTGTTGTTGTTGTTGTTGTTGTTCGTAAGGACGTTACCTGGAGGCCCCGGGGGGGAGGGAAACGGGAAACGGGAAACGTGGGGCCCCTGCGGGGCCCCACGTTTCCCGTTTCCCTTCTTCGTCTTCTCGGGATTCGATCGGGATCCTATGGAATTCCATACGGATCCTAAAGGGCTCCCTGTGGGTGCCAGGGCCACGATCCTCGAGAGTGGTGTGCCGAAATCAGGCCTCGGTGGAGCTCCCTGTGGGGCCAGGGCCACGGTCCTCGAGAGGGGTGTGCCGAAATGAAGCTTCGTTGGAGCTCCCTGTTGGGCCAGGGCCACGATCCTAGAGAGGGGTGTGCCGAAATGATGGTTCGGTGGAGCTCCCTGTGGGGGCCAGGGCCAAGATCCTCGAGAGGGGTGTGCCGAAATGCCAGGGCCACGATCCTCGAGAGGGGTGTGCCGAAATTAAGCCTCGGTGGAGCTCCCTGTGGTGCCAGGGCCACGATCCTCGAGAGGGGTGTGCCGAAATGATGGTTCGGTGGAGCTCCTTGTGGGTTCCAGGGCCACGATCCTCGAGAGGGGTGTAATTACCGAAATGAGGGTTTGGTGGAACTCCTTGTGGGTGCCAGTGCCACGATCCTCGAGAGGGGTGTGCCGAAATGAAGCCTCGGTGGAGCTCCGTGTGGGGGCCAGGGCCACGATCCTCGAGAGGGGTGTGCCGAAATGATGGTTCGGTGGAGCTCCTTGTGGGTGCCAGGGCCACGATCCTCGACAGGGGTGTACCGAAATGAAGCTTCGGTGGAGCTCCCTGTGGGGCCAGGACCACGATCCTCGAGAGGGGTGTCCCAAAATGACACTTCAGTGGGGCTCCCTGTGGGGCCAGGGCCACGATCCTCGAGAGGGGTGTGCCGAAATGGAGCCTCGGTGGGGCTCCCTGTGGGGGCCAGGGCCACGATCCTCGAGAGGGGTGTGCCGAAATGATGGTTCGGTGGAGCTCCCTGTGGGTGCCAGGGCCACGATCCTTGAGAGGGGTTTGCCGAAATGGAGCCTCGGTGGAGCTCCGTGTGGTGGCCAGGGCCACGATCCTCGAGGGGGGTATGCCGAAATGAAGCATCGGTGGAGCTCCTTGTGGGGCCAGGGCCACGATCCTCGAGAGGGGTGTGCCGAAAGTAGGGTTCGGTGGGGCTCCTTGTGGGTGCCATGGCAACGATCCTCGAGAGGGGTGTCTCGAAATGAAGCTTCGGTGGAGCTCCCTGTGGGGCCAGGGCCACGATCCTCGAGAGGGGTGTGCATGGAGCCTCGGTGGGGCTCCCTGTGGGTGCCAGGGCCACGATCCTTGAGAGGGGTGTACCGAAATGATGGTTCGGTGGAGCTCCTTGTGGGGGCCATGGCCACGATCCTCGAGAGGGATGTGCCGAAATGATGGTTCGGTGGGGCTCCCTGTGGTGCCAGGGCCACGATCCTCGAGAGGGGTGAGCCAAAATGAAGCTTCGGTGGGGCTCCCTGTGGGGCCGGGGCCAAGATCCTCGAGAGGGGTGTGCTCAAATCCTTGTGGTGCCAGGGCCACGATCCTCGAGAGGGGTGTGCCGAAATGATGGTTCGGTGGAGCTCCCTGTGGGGGCCAGGGCCACGATCCTTGAGAGGGGTGTGCCGAAATGATGGTTCGGTGCAGCTCCCGGTGGGGCCAGGGCCACGATCCTCGAGAGGGGTGTGCATGGAGCCTCGGTGGGGCTCCCTGTGGGTGCCAGGGCCAAGATCCTTGAGAGGGGTGTGCCGAAATGATGGTTCGGTGGAGCTCCCTGTGGGGGCCAGGGCCACGATCCTCGAGAGGTGTGTGTGTGTGTGTGTGCGTGCCGAAAGAAGGGTTCGGTGGAGCTCCTTGTGGGGGCCAGGGCCACGATCCTCGAGAGGGGTGTGCCGAAATGATGGTTCGATGGAGCTCCCTGTGGGGGCCAGGGCCACGATCCTTGAGAGGGGTGTGCCGAAATGGAGCCTCGTTGGAGCTCCGTGTGGGGGCCAGGGCCACGATCCTCGAGAGGGGTCTGCCGAAATGATGTTTCGGTGCAGCTCCCTGTGGGGCCAGGGCCGATCTTCGGTGTGCCGAATCAATATTATTACTACCACCATTCATATTACTACCGCTACCACGACTCATCCTACTACGACGATTACTACGGCTGCTACGAATACGATTACTTATTCTCCCACGACTACTACCATTACTACCACTACCACTCCTTTTGGTACTACTTGCG